AAATCTTAGAACGACTATTTTTATTTCTTTTTCTAGGAGCATCTAGAGGCATCGAGGCTATTTTCATTGAGTATTAGTGTCTTTGCGATATCTTAGAACGACTATTGTTATGTGACGGAGGAAGTACCTTTCGTAATATGTACTATTATATAATAGGTACTATTACATTAAGCATGGAGTATACTTTCGTAATAAACTTATTAGGAGATACAAATATTGATACCGTTTTTTAGTTTTGATCAAACTTAAACATATTTGACTACTTGAGAAATAAGATGTGTATTTATTTTGAGATGGAGGGATTATTTGTAATTTGTAACCAAAGTTTTATATGGATTGATTATGTATTTATTATCTAGTATACTTAGGATTTTGGGTTTAGGGATTTAGGCTACGAGAATATATGTCAAGCCCCCGTACACTGACGTGGCGATTGACGAGGACTCGGAGGAAGATGTCATTGAATATGTGTACGACGTTACCACTAGGGAGGACACACAGCTACAGAGAGCCCCGCTTCAAAGATACGTGGTAAGATACTTGAATGGTACAATTTGTTATTATTTTGGTTTTAAGTATGTGTGCTAAAACTGTCCAATCGCGTTTCTGTACCCAGGCGACACAATTGTCAAGACTGTCCAATGAAGCGGCGTTCCGGCTTCACGAGTCTAGAGGGCAGGGGCCAGGCGTTCTCGTGGCTTTTGTGGAGGTAAACATAAACTTATCCGTTTCGAAAATATTTCTTTAGTGTATATGTGTTTGTGTAATGAACTAACTTTAACGTCTATTTTTGCAGAAGGTGAAGAAGAGCTGCAGGAAACTAGCTCAGAAGCTGAGCTGCATGGACACTCCTTATGAGGAACCGCCACTCCCGGCGCGGTCGGGTGGCACGTCTTTAGCCTCTTTGAGGACACCAGCCGGCTCTTCTCAGCCGATGACAGGTGCCACTTCCGCGGTGCGTACACCATCACATCATAGCGTTGGGAAGGACCCTACAATTGAGGATGAGGAGGAGGACGATGACGACGATGACAAACCCCGGCTTCTCGCGGACAGCACGACTAGTGGGACGAATGGCCGTAGGACGAGATCGCCATGTCTCAGCTAGGTGGTGCCCCGCTTGGCACTCAAGAAACCTCACAGGTACTAACAAAGATAGCTTGTTTCAATACGTAGGCTCCATGAACTAACGATCATAAGTAATCGTGCGTATCATATACCTGCAGGGTACGAGCCGTACGCATCGTCGACGCGACCATACCGACGTTGGCTACACTCCCAATGTGTTGCCAACAAATCCAAAGAGACAGAGGCGTCCGAGGGATCCTTACACTCTTGGGTCTTAGTTTGTTAGGTCAAACGAATATTGCCATCCGAAATTTGCGTGGTTATTTGGTTATGTTATCTCAAACTTATGTCAAAACAATGAATATGTTATGTGGCAGCTTGTCAACTTGCTTCTTATTGGTTTCTTTGAGTCGCGGCAGCACTGCCGGCGAGATTAAGTACCAACTAGTTCGGGAACCGACAGTCCCGGTGGCAATTTTTCGTAAACGATTAGTTTAAATGGTGCATAACCGTATTATGAAAGATGAAAAATTTATCATTGGCTTATCAAATTCTTTATTCGGCTATAAAAAAAACTCAATAAAATACGTGCGCGACGCGTTTCGATTCAACCATCCAGGTACTCCGTGCGGGCGGCAGGCGCAGCGGCCAGGTGGTGTGGCTACGCAGGCGGTATATATATGGTCTGTCGCGCCACATCGAGGGGCGGCATCGCCGCGCTAAAGTCGTCGGGGCGGCGGCAGCTGCCGCCACGTCGTGTCCCCAAGCCGGCCTCGCCACGTCGCTTCTGCCGCCCGCCACCATGCATGGCGCGGCACAAGCATTTGGCCGCGTCAAGGCAATAGGCACGGCTAAAAGTGTTAGTTAAAAAAAACGACAGTGTTAGATTTAAAATTATATTAAAAAATGGTTAAAATTAAAAAAAAATCCATGCAGCTGGGTGCTCTGTCGTCAGGCAGGAGTGAGCGAGAGACACGTACGGGTCAATGGTGCTCTGTTGCCACCTTGCATCTGCATTGAATCTTGGTGGGCCTATGTAAATTCAAGTAGGCCTGCGGCCTGCCGCCAAGTGATGCACCCGTCAATGGCCATCGGCTAGCGGTGGCTGGCTTTTAGCCTGTGCCAGATAGTCAGGGCCCAAATTTACTGGGTCTACCCCCCAAGGCCTCCTTTTAGTGAAAGAGAGGACAGATCCAATCTCGTCTTCGGTCAAGGAACTGGAACAGCACGAATAAATAAAGAGCGTTGATGCTTTCCCTAACGATAATGCTCGACCGTTCCGTCCGGATGCCGCTCATCCCCGTAAAGTCATTCACCCTCTCAATATATATATCCATTACGCTTATCCCCTCGTCTCGGTGTGAGCGCGTGGGTGCTCGTCGTTTACCGTGCCGTGCCCTTCCCCATCGCCGGCCGCGCCGCGCTCCGTTCTAGTCACCTGCGCCGCTCGCTCCCTCGTCGTCCATTCGTCCCCATCGCCGTCGCGCGCGCCGCTGACCCTGCCATAGCTATTGGGGCGTACGTGCCGTGGCGCCTCAGGTCTTCCTCGGCCGAGCCAAGGGCACCCACGAGCGCGACAGGTGCTGGTGGTGCGCGCGCGCCGTGGCTTGCAACCGGCTCCCACCTCGACGCCCAGAATTGATCGGCCCCGGCCTTCCCCTGTCCTATTTTGCATATATGTTTCAAGTGTTTTAGCATTTCAGATGTATATAGTGCAATTGTTTCATCTTGATGTTGCAAAAGTAGATCGAAGGATGCTGCACATGTTGCATATGTGCAAGTGTTTCAGTGGCATGATGCAAACGTTTGTTCAAAATATTTCATCTGTTTCCAAACGTACGTTGCAATCGCTTTTTATTATCTGGATGTTATATATGTTTCACACATATGTTGCAACAGTATGTTCCAAATGTTTTAGCTCAGTTTTATGTTGCAACAAGTAGTTTCATATTGCAAGTTGCAAGTATTTTATTTGGATGTTTCATGTACACAAACATGTTGCAAATGCATGTTCCAAATGGTTCATCTGTTTTCAGACGTATATTGCATCCAAATGTTTTTTTTATGTTGCAAGTGTTTTATGTTGTTCGGACAGAGGCAAGTTGGGGGGCCACTCATCCTGGCTCTTGAGTGCCGCCTGCGTGGAGAGAGAGAGAGGAGGGGGTCTAGGAAAGGACCGGCGGGCGTAGAGATGAGAGCGGAGTCACGCGTGGGGCGGGGTGAAGGCAGACAGGAGCGGGCTGCGCGGGTGTCTGGACACGCGGGTTCGTTCGAACGTCCGGGCGCTAACCGCGCTATTTCCCTATACAAAAGCAAGGAATTGGAATCTACCGACTACCATGCATGTACCAGCTTGGTAATCGGCTAATCACACGTTGAAATCGAAGCCCAGAGGCAAACAAGAAATCAAAGAAGCAGGCTATGGCTATCACAAGGTATACTAACAGACTATCTTAAGGCCTCCTTTGGAATACACGAATCAGAAAATGCAGGAAGAGAAAAAATATAGAAAAAATATAGAAACACATGTGCAAACCTAAGGAATTCAAAACATAAAAATTATATAGGATTATGTGTTTAATTTGGTTGGGTATAGGAAAAAAATAAAGAATTCTAAAAGAATCTTAAGAACAAATTCATATTACTCCTTTATTCAAGCTAGGTATCCTTTCATAATAAGATACTAGTGGAGAGCACATGCTTGATTAGACACCAAGTACAATTATTAATTTCTTGTTTGTCCTCATTCCTTGTGCAAAGAAAATTTTCCGTGAGGTATGAGTAGATTCTTTTTCCCTTTAGTTTTATTGTGACTTATTCCTATAAACCAAATGCTGCTACATGAACTAAATCCTTAGGAATTAGAATCCTACATTTTCTTGTGTTTATCCTCCATTCCAAAGAGGGTCTAAATGTGGAAAACACAAGCATCCAAAGAGGGTCCTCTGTTCCTTGTTTGGTAGGGCTCTGACTCTGGCTCCTCGTATGGAGCAACTTCTTAGGTGCAATTAAAGCTGTTTTGAAAAATGTTTGACAAAATCAACGTTAATGATAGTTTTGTAATAATTTATATTATCTGTGTAAGGAGGAACCAAGAGAAGCCACTTTTTTTTTGCTCTAGCTTCTCTATATAAAAAAAACAGCTACAACTCAAAGCACCTTGCAAGGAACCTTTTTGAGATGTTCGTTTGGCAGAGCTCCTTACAAGGACCCGTGAGAAGCCGGAGCCTGGAGCCATGCCAAAGGAGGGTTTATTATTATATTATTATCATTATAAAAAACTTGACCCGTGGGGGTATGAAGCCCAGTATTCTACTTAAGATAGAAGGAAATCTTTTCACGCTGATCGAGAAAACTTCGAACCCCTACCCCACCCATACATGGTGGCTCCGTGGACAACATGAGACTGGGCTGGTCCTTAGACCTATGCTTTGACGTGAGATATGTGAGAGGATTTTTTATAACGTGCAATTCCTGCGCATGCGAGGTGGGGAATCAAACTCCCGACTTGGAGCTTCCCACAACGGGGACGCCAACGACGGGGACACCACCGACTGAGCTATCAACTCGTCTGCTATCATTATCATCATTTAATGAGAGCCATTTTTTGGGCCATAGTTGCAACATGTCATTAAAAATTGACAATGTAAATGGATAGTTCCGGTATAAAACATATGTTCAAAACGTATATATACATATTTACAAACATACATGTATTCGTACTTACATATGTGTATACAAATCTATACATAAGTACATATATGTATATGTAAATCACTACAAATGTGAAAAATAATGCATACATTTATGTTTGTAAACTTATTAACACACACACACGCAAAGGTATATATACGCGCCATACATGCATACATAGAGAAAATAAATAAATAGCTTTTGGTGCTGAAAAAGATCAACCACTCCTTTAAACCAAGTTAGGGGAGTTGGTGGGTGTGGGGGAGGGGAGATACACCACACACCGCCCCCGCCCCCATCCATGAAGAAATGGCTCGGTTTGCTTCCAGAATTTCTTCAACCACGCAGCGGAGCGCAGAATGATCTGAGATCATACCGTTGTGCGTCACGTTCGGGATCAAAACGGACTTGAAGTAAGGTTGATCCGGGTCATCCCCGACAAAAGTTTCCAGCTCCAGCACGGTGTCCAAGCTGACCATCCCATCCCCGTCACCGTTCACCACCTTAGGCTTCGCGCTGAAGTTGCCATCCCAGTAGAGCAGCCTATCGATTGTCGGCACACCAACGCCATTGATAGACGTCATAGGCACGAGTGGCGCCCTGAAACTTAGCGTCACCGGCAGCGCCGTTGTTCGGTACCGCTCTACCTCGTCGTCGGAGAAGCCTACCGCGGCAAGGAACTCAGGCATGTCCCGGGCAGAGTAGTTCTTGGCTCGCGTGATCACCGGGGGCGTGTCGCCGTACACCTTCGGGGACGGCAGGAGGGAGATCGTGCTCGCGAAGCTCCTGTTCCCGAACAACATCACCCTGCTCCGCAGGGTCACTGGCGGGCTGGCCGCGCTGGAGGAGAGGACCTGCATGATCAACGGCGAGCCGCCGACGCCGTTGCAGAGCATGACCAAGTGCTTGACGTACCTGCTGCGCCACGGCAGGGGGCTCCGGTTGAGGACTGTGGGTCACGAGGATGACCGGCCTGTTCCCGTTCGTCACGCTCGCGTGCTCCACCAGGAGCCTCAGGCTCCAGCGGAAGTCGGCGAACGCCCCTGGACGCCACGCCGGGCGCGGCCGGCGCGTAGCGGAAGTCGTACGTGGCGCCGAACAGGTTCGCTCCCTCTCTGTATCCGACGCCTTCGAGTGCCTCCACGAGCCTTTATAGTGTTTTGCAAGTTTTTCACACCTACGTTGCAGACGTTCCTAACAAATAAGGATGTACGAGACCAAACATTATTTTTGTTAGCACAATGTAATTATAGTAGGCTGCCCTTGATTATGACTATAATCTTACTGTGTGGTTGGCTGCATGCCACCCCGGCTATATGTACACCTGTACAAGATATGGATGACAATCAATTCCAATCACATTTACACGTATCAATCGCGGTTACGATCCGCTTCCCTATCTCCTGTATTTTTTTTTGCGAACAGTATCTCCTGTAAAATTAGACATGATACATATATACACCGCCGATACACGCATATGCTTAGCTTGTTACTTTAGGGCGGGATCGTCGAAGCGGAAGCTGCGGGTGGAGCAGAAGGACACGACGCGGGTCTCCACGCCGGGCAAATTGCGGTAGTCACCGGCGGCGCGGTCGTACACGAGCCGGAGCTGGTCCTCGTAGCACGGCAGGAGCGCGGGGTCCTCCTGTAGCGCCGTGTAGTTCTCCCACAGCCGGAACCAGCGGCGCCCCTGTTTCGGCACGCCGCAGCCCGGCGTCGGAGGCTTGTACTCGTCGGTGAGCCGCGCCTCCAACTGGCTGCAGGAGTAGCCCGGGAGCAGTACGATCGGGTGGAGGCCGGGCGTGCCTTCGTGTGCCTCCCACGACGGCGCGCCGACGGAGAAAAGCACGGCGGCAAGCAGGAGAACGAGGGTCGTCGTCAGGCGTTTTGACTGAACCGGAGGGGCCGAAGCCCCTACAGAGATTTTAGGGCCTGTTTCGTTCGCGTACTAGTGAGCCTCGCTCGTATGGTTGACTACGTCGACTTAGCCTGGCTGAGAAGATATGCTATTTGATTACTTGTATGTAGATATATTGCATGAGATAAAAATATTACAAGGTTATGAATATGATTTTTTTATTTTATGCAAATACACTCCTAAAGTACTTATTTTATCTAACTATGTCTTAAACATCTTTAAAATACATTAATATCACTTGATATTCACTAATCATACACTAATAGTGTCATTAGGTGTGAAAGCAGCTGCATCCAGCGAGCCAGGCCCGGCAGGAACGGCCGATTTGCTCGTTCTTGCAGAGCCTGGCCGCGGGGTGCCTCGTGCACGCGCAGAGCCTGGTTCAACCAGGTGAGCAGGCAACCAAACGGTCGGTCCCTGCATCCCGCCAGCCTGGTTCAGGTGGATGCAGTGAACCAAACAGGCCCTTATTGAAAGCTCAAAGGACAAAGTACAAAAACCCGGTACAAAACAAACAGAACAAGAAAGAAATTAAGACACAATAAAGGAGAGGAAAAAAAATAAAACTTAAGAGAAAAATTACAACAGATTTTGAATCCATAAGTCAAAGATTCGAGTCTTTTGCTTTGACCCCGAGGGTAAGAAGTTTTACTGTCTGTTCGTTTGGCTGTGGCTTATCGTAAACGATCGTAAATTTTCAGCCAGAACAGTATTTTTCTCTCACACAAACCAGCTAGCAGTACTTCTTCACGAACCAGCAACGAAATGAACCAGCCAACCGAACAGACTGTTAGTTCCTTCAGGAAGACTTTCTTTGCAAGCTCAACTTGTGGCTGAATATTGTTGAAGATGAATCCATTTCTGACAGCCCAGCTCATTAGGATTGCAGAGACCGTAAAGAATCTTGGATTGCCTTGTAATCTTATCTGAGTAACTGCATCTGGTAAGCTCAAGTTGTTCTGAAAGTTAAAACCTAGAGAATTCTAGCAGTTCTTGGCAAAAGGACAATCCAGAAAGAGGTGTACCGAGGTCTCTTCTACCAGCAGGTTACACATGACACAATTATAAGATTGTAGCTACATGTTTTTTCTTCTCAGGATATTCCTTGTGCTTAACCTGTCTTTTTAAGGAGTAGCCAAAAGAAAACTTTATGCTTTGGTTGACAACAGCATTTCTAAATCCACTTGAAAGCTTGATGCACTTGAGTATGCCCTATCAGAAATCTATAGATTCTTGTGGTTGAAAAATTTCCCCAAACTGAATGCCAGATGCCTTGTTGTTCTGTTAGAGGAAAGAGGTTTCTCAGAGATTCAACATGAAAAAACTGATTGTAAGCTTCAGTTGAAAGTGGCAAATTGAACTGATCAGCCAAAGGTTGTTGCCCAAGCATGTTGTCCACTGAGATCAGTCTATTTTTAGCAAGAGAGTATAATTCTGGATATTGCAAGTTCAGTGGCTGTTGTATCCAAGTATCTTGCCAAAATAGACAGGTTCAACCATTCTGAACAATGACCCACATATGCCAGTCATTGTCCTTCAGACTTCTGACTGCTGCACATGAGAGCCAAACAACTTCGGTAGTCTGTCGGGTGTCTTCAGGGAACCCCGAATCATCCACATTTATTCTCTCGAGCAGGATCCATTACAGAAAGCATTGCAGTATTACAACAGTTGTACAAATATACAAATATATTACATCAGAGTAAGTGGCGAAAGTCTTACAATACCATAAGTTTACAGACCAGTTATTAAGTTATTACAAATCATAAGTTTTAGCCATTCAGGCAGTGGGGTAGCAAAAGGGTACCACTTATACTACAATCAAAAGATACTCACCCCGCCCAAGGGTGCGCAACAACAATAGCTCTACTGCTGGGACTCCTCCAGAACCGCCATGCAGCAGGGGCAAAAGCCTAACTGCCCATGAGGCTCACCTGCAACAAGGGTTTAACAAACCCTGAGTACAAAGGTACTCAACAAGACTTAACCGACGAAAAGGAAAGACTCCAAGGATATGCAGGCTTACGGGAAATCAAGGTAAGTCTGTAGCAAGAATCAAGTTAAACTTTTGCAGAAAAGCTTACTAAGTTGATCCTTACTTTCAATGTTTTAGCTCAAGTTAAATAATTATAAGTCTCTCATTTGCACCTAATCTAGGTCAATCACTTCTTTAACCATCTCATCTCATGATCATATCACTAATGTTTCAGTTATTAACTACGATGCATGTCGATTGATCGAGTCTTCTTCTCCGAGAAGCAGCGACGATTCGAATCGGTTTGACCCAGCTGGAGGTTCCTTACCACACAACATATGCAGGTCTAGAACCGGTCCTGAACCTACATATATCAACCCTCACGCGGTTCCCCCAAAATATGAACGGGTCCAGCGCTACCCAAGAGCACAGTACTCCACCTCCCTATGCCACTCCTGGTGGATTCACAGAATGGGTATATGTTACTCTCGCCATCTCTCCACTCCCAATGCGTGGTTGACCTTTCACATAATAGAATAGCCAAGGTATTAGGCTTACCGGAGTATGTGGCCAGTACTACAAGTCACAAATCACAAGCGGGCCTACAACGATCGGTCCTTAATCGACACAGACGGAACAAGCACGAACAAGCAACCTTGTCGGCTTAACCACCAGAGATGTAACCCGCATCCCGTTCGGTCTCCAGTTAATATTATTCATTATTAAACTCTCAGGGCATCCCTGAGTGTAGAACCATTGCGAATGATGAAATCACCACTCGACTCTTATCCACTAAGCAAGGCTAAGCATAGCTAACCTATCATACTAAAAAGGGTAACAAGGGATGGTATAAGATCATCAAGGTAGGTAATGCATCAGATGGTAATCAATCAACTCCTACTGTACTTAATGCAACAAGCATAACACTTATATGAATAATATTTGTAAAACACAAGGAAGTGGTGGTATGCTCTGGGGATTGCCTGCAATGTCGGGGTTGTCAGATATTTCAGAAGTAACACAGCCCTCGGACCTAATTCCATAGAGTGAAACCTTCCTCTAGGATTTGCTCCACACTAGGGTCACCACTCTCGTTCACTAAACATAAATAAAATGCATGCTTTAGAATGATAAAGTGCTAAACATGGTTTATGATGACTTAACAATATTAATTACTTGAGTACAACTTTCCTTCACTAAGTAACTTGGTTAATTACTCACTAAACACTATTGTTATTTATCATTAACATGTTAATCACGAGAACACAATCATGTAAGTAGTTGCCATGGAACAGCAAGGTGTTAGTGTTCCAAGGTCCACAATCAACCCCAAAGTTCACTCAATTCATTTTAATGATTTAAGGAAATCATTGTTTTTGTATTTTTATTAATCCATAAAAGGCATTTGAATTAAGTGGACAAGCTATTTTCAGTAAAACAGGACCAAACTTTTTGTGGAGGTTGATTTTAGCATGTAAAGCATATACACAAAATTTCATGATTTTAGCATAATTATTTTAACCTGTAAAAATCATGGAAGGTTCATTTATTAATTAAAAGAGGTAATTTTTAGATCCAGCAAAAGTACTGATTTCCACCAACTCATATTTTTCTCTGATCAAACACAATATAACAAGATTACACAAAAATTTTCATAATTTTATAAGCTTTACTTATTTAGTTATGAATTAATCAAATTTTAGGGTTTAATAGCATTTTCAGAAAAACGAAAATGGATAAAATCCTTTCTCGCCCGCTTCCCTCTCACCCTCTCTGTCTGACAGCCGGGCCCGGTCAACCGCGAGACGCGCGGTCGTTGACCGGCGGGTTCTCGCTGACGGCGAGCTCCTCTCATCATTGGCCACACTGTGATGGTACGGGTCGGTCATCTGGTGCACGACGGCGAACACGTCGGCGACTTTGGTGGGTCGGTGGCGCTCTGGCACGGCGGCTAAGGTCGTTGGCGACGATTCTGGTGACACCAACTAGCCCTACACGTCCCACTCGACCTCGCGAACTCCCTGACGGTGACGATCGATCAACTATGGCACGATAGCGTCCACGCCGGCGGCCATGGCGGCACGGCGGAGCTCCGGCAGCCCGGCTACACCCAACGGCGAGCTCTCCTGTGACGCAAAGGCCACCGGCACACTCAACACTCACACGCGAACGCACCCGAGGGGTCTGTCGAGCACGCGTGAGTTAGCAACGCACACGACCGCGGCTGCAGCAGCTCGACAAGGCAGAGCACGCCGGCGCGGTGGCACTCCAGCCACTATGGCCCGGTAGAGGTTAAACGGATAGCGTAGTTAGACTCAGGAGCTCACCGCGACTTCGAAACGGCCGCGGGTTGAACCGGGAACGCGTCGGAGGAAGCTCGTCGACGTTGGGGGCGAAGACGGCGGCGTGAACCGGCGGCGAAGACACGTTCCTGCGCGTCTGGACTTCCTCTGTGAAATCAGTCAAGGCGATGAGCAACAGGACGATAAGATGAAGCGAAAACAAGGAAAAGTTGGAGCGGAGGTGCGCCATGGAGGGCTGGCCACGGTGAGGAGGCTCACGGCGGCGCGGTGAACATCGAGGAGGAAGACGACGACGTTAGGGCGATTCCGGTGGGTAGAGCTAGCGCAAGCAGGTCAGGAGGATGCGCAAGGAGATGGAGAACGTGGCTGCGAGATGAATTGCGGCGAGGTGGACGGTGGCGGTGAATTTGGTCGGCGAACTGGAGGTGCTCGACGACGACGGGAAAAAGAGAGGATGAGCTCGGCAGCCGGTTGGGCGACTTAAGGACGTGGGCGAAGCTTCAGGCCGTCCAGCTCCTGCTTGCGAAGCGTCCAGGCGAAGCAGCTGCGTGTTGGCGCACGTGGAGGCGCCGCAACCGTTCAGCGGCGGCGGCAAGCAGGCAGGCAGGGTGCTTCCCGGCGACTTGCACTGTAGCACTGACAGCCCTTCTTCCCCCTCCATTTTCTCCAGATTCCAAATGGAAACATGATTGATCCAAAGACAAAAGTTGTTCATATTGATTTGATCTTTAACTTTTCTTTAAGCAAGAACATCTAATTCTAATTGGATAAGGAGATCTAACCCAAGAATATGAGGAAGATTGAAACTGAAAACTCAGTACCGACAGACTTGCAGTTAGGGTTTTGAAAACAGTCAACTTAGCAACTTTGGTGAATTAATTAGTGACTAATTAGTGATCAAACACTTCAACCAATAGCATCATTGTGACATACAAACCTTATACTTCAAAATGGTACCATTGCTTGAACAAGTTTATTTATGAAATTCATTTTAATAAGCTCCCCAAAATTGAATCAAATACTGAAATCCAGCGCTTAGCCAAATTGACCAAGTGTTGAAATCCAAGTTTTGAATTCAAATTTGAGGCTCCATTTTTAAAGGTTTGGACTTGAATTCATACTGCACACTTGACACTAGTGTAAAGCACCTTCTTTACACCTCAAAGTTTATTAAAGCATAATTTCAAGTATTTTAGTGAAATTCAAAAATAGAAGGTCACAAAGTACCTTAAAAGGGTTTTTAAGTTTTAACTCAAGCTTCACACATGCATTGCATTTCTAATAAAATAAATATTGATTTTAGTGGATGCAAGACATGATTAGCTATTATGGATGATCAACATGTAAGATGATGACATGATCAAGTTTTAGTGATGCTTAACACCAGGGGTGTTACAGGTAAGGCCCAGGGGAAGCCCAAGTTATGTGAAGCGGAATGAGCCCTTGGAGCACCCAAAGGTGTTAGCCAGATGATTAAATCTTTCCTCAGATGGGTTGATGGGAAGCATAACAGATTTAGAGTAATTCACCTTCAGTCCAGTAGAATCAGTGAAAGAATGTAGAACAACTTTCAAGAAAAGTAACTGTCTAGCATCACCCTCAAGAATGATCAAAGTGTCATCGGCGTATTGGATAACTGGGAAGTAAGAGGAGGAGTTCAAAGGAATAGGTAAATTAAGGAGGCTCCTATCCTTGGCATTGTTCAAGACATATTGTAGAAGATCAGCAGCAAGGACAAATAAGAGGGGGGATAAAGGGTCCCCCTGCCTGACACCCCTCCAACAATGAATAGTTTTTCCTAGGACCCCATTGAGCAGGACCTTAGAAGTTCCGGTGGAGAGAATATTCTGTATCCAGGAAAGCCAATTATCGCCAAAGCCTTTTGCCTGAAGCAATTTCAGGATTGTAGAGTGCTCAATTTTGTCAAAAGCCTTTTCAAAATCGAGTTTAAGGATTATGATCTCTTTTTTAGAGTGGTGGCACAGGTGGAGATACTCAAAGGACCATGCTAGACAATCTTGAATTGTTCTATTTTTAATGAAGCCATATTGATTTTTGTGGACCAAAGAGGTGATGGTTGTTTGAAGTCTGTTGGCCAAAAGCTTAGTGATAAGCTTCATGGAGCTATTGAGGAGAGAAATTGGCCTGTAGTCAGAGATGGAAGTTGGGCTTTGATTTTTGGGGACTAAAGTGATGAAAGATGTATTGATACTCTGAAGACAGGCATTGTTATTTTGGAAGGCCCAGAACAGATCATAAAAATCATTTTTACTGTGTACCAGCATTTTTTGATGAATTCATTGGTAAACCCATCTGGACCTGGAGATTTATCATTCGGGAGCATCTTCACCACCTCATCAATTTCATTTGTTGTGAATTGATCTTCCAGCCAGTTGAGATTAGGATGCTCTTGCATGAGGGAAGACAAATCAAATAGCATTTCATTATATTCAGTGACCCCCAGTCTATCTTTGAAAGAGTGCCAAATTTGCACTTCCTTGTCATGATGGGAAGTAACAACTTCACCCTGTTCAGTGACCAATTTTGCAATTAAGTTTCTTCTGTGCTTAATGGTTACATTAGCATGAAAGAATTCAGTGACAGCATCCCCAAGTGTGACCCATTTGACAGATCCCCTTTGTTTCCAGTATATTCTCTGCTGCTCCAGTAAAGAAAGCAACTTTTCTCTGAGAATATCTCTGAAATTCCATTCCTCCAGACTCAAATCTCTGTACTCTTCCAGGATGGTGAGGGAAAGATTTTCAATAGTGAGCTTTAGATTAGAGAAAGAAGAGCTCCAGACCTTAAGAGCTGCCCTAAGATTTTTAAATTTCCTAGAAATATTTTGAGCTTTGTCAACATGGGGAGCATGTAGAGACCAGTTATCTGTAACTATGCTCTGGAAACCTTGTCTAAGAACCCAGAAATTCTCAAACCTAAAGGTATGAGGTTTTGCCAGGTCAGTTGAGATTGAGATGACCAGAGAACAGTGATCTGACACTTCCATTGTAAGAGCCCTACATGCAGTGACTGGGAAGGAAAGGTCCCAGGTGCTACTTGTGAAGGCCCAATCAAGCTTTTCAAGAAGAGGTGGAGTTTGCATATTGGACCAGGTATATTTTTCCCTTGAAGAGGAATTTCAGTCAGCCCCAGATAGCTAATTGTGTTATTGAACAAGAACATATCAGCTAGATCAGCCCCTGACCTATTTCTGTTCTCAGGATATCTGTACAAGTTGAAGTCTCCCAAAATAATCCAATCCTCTTCTTGTGTCAGCAGCTTTTAACCAATCAGTAAATTCAGTTTTCCCCTCATTAGTACATGGGCCATAGATGTTCATCAGATTCCACTTGGTGCAGTTATGTTTAGAAGTGAATTGAACTGCCAGAGCAAAACCATTTGAGAATTTTTGGGAGCCATAAAAAAGATCAGACTTCCAGGCAACCATTAGACCTCCTGAGGCACCCACCGAGGGAACAAAGACAAAGGTATCAAAATTTGCTGGTAGCACCTTTCTGAGGAAACTAAGATCAAAATTGTCCTTTTTGGTTTTTTGAAAACATACTATATCACAATTGACCTCTGTTACTTTACTTCTAATTGAGTCCCATTTTCTGGCAGCATTCATACCCCTGACATTCCAGCAAAGCACATTCCAAGATATAAATATTGATGAGTTCATTTAGGAAACAAAGAGTAGCAAAGGCCCCATGATTGGCAAGTCTTACAACTGATAGAGGTTTAACAAAGCCATCCCAGTGGAGCAAAGGTAATAACTCGGTACAGAAAGGTTGCCTAAAACAGAGACTAATGAACTGAAAGAAAAGCCTCTCCTCATTGCTCAGATTACAGCAAGAGGGGTTCATCCCAAAATCTTCTGACTTCATCATCGTCATTTGATAAACTTAATCTTGATCAGGCTTCCCCATCAAAAGCCTTGTGCTTCTCCAGCAGCTGAAGCAGGTCATCAGCCTTGTCCTTCAGTTCCTGCTCATCCTCTCCTTCTTCTGGCCGATCCTGAATGACAGGCACAATCCTTGCTCTGGCTATTGGCCTGCTTTTCTTTCTTTTTGTCTGCAAAATATCATCATTTAACTCAGTTTGGTCTAGTTTGCAGAAATCAAAAGCCAGCTTTTTGATTGCTTCTTTACTTATTATTGGGGGCTCAGGACCACAGGCTAGGCATCTCTTGTCAGTATAGGAGCTGGTTCTGAAACCTTTGTTATTATGCTTTAATCTGGGACTTCTTCTTACCTGGGTTTCAACCAAGACAGGAGAATTTTTTGAAGATATTTTCCTTGTGCTGGACTGAGCAGCTTCAGTGTCCTTTAACTCCTTTCCCTTGGAGGAGCCCTCATCATCAGACTCTGTCAAACATTTCAGGTTATGTTCAGGGCATTTAGCAGGTATGGAGAACTCAATAGACCCATTACCAGTCATTAGCTATTCTGGAATCTTGGTGGATAACAAGTTTTTAGCCCATTGAAAGTTGGTGGGTGACAGTAACAAAACTGTGAAGAAATTGGCCCATGATGTTGGAATGCTAGTGTGAACATGAGTAGCATTACCTGAGGAGAATAATCTGGCCCAAAGCCTGGTTGCCTCAGCTTGCTTTGCTCTGGCCCAAACTGGATCAGCATGATGACTGCTTATAATCTGGCAACCCAAAGCCTGGATATGCCTCAGCTTGCTTTGCTCTGGCCCAAACTGGATCAGCATGATGACTGCTTATCAGAGCCATCCCAACATGGAGATTGTTGTTGAAATTGTCAGCAACTTGAGGTTGAAGCAGTTCATCTTCTTCACGAAGAGCAGGCCCATCTGCATGTGGGACTGCTTCATCAGCCTGAGGCTGCAATGCCATTTGAGCAGCCACTGGTGGTTCCTCAACATTAAGTTCCACAGATTCCTCAGGGAACCCCTCTTCTCCAACTAATTGGTCCATTGGAATTTCGTCACCCAGATAATCAATGGGAGACTGAGGAATAGCTGGGGGGATTTGAAGTTGTTCCTGGAGCTATTCCTGCTATATCTCATCTGCTATCTCCATCAATTCTTCCTCTACTGGATTTGCAAGATAAACCTTATTTTCAAGCTGAAGCAAATGATGCTCCATCATGTTCACCTGAGGATCATTGAGATAAAAAAGGTCTCCATTCAGGGGTGCTTCTGGGTTCAGAATTACTGGATGCAGGTCCATGTCTAGAGCTGGCTGACTAAGATCTAGGTCTTGGTTTTCAGGAACAGGCAGCTCATTCAGGTTCTGGCCTAGAGGAGGAGCTAAATCAATCTGCATAGGCTGGAGCTCTGCTGGCCAGGAATCCCAGACATTCAGTTCTTGTTCCTGCTGCTGTCCTTGCCGTTGATTCTGCCCATTCTGGCCAAACAGCCCATCTAATTGATTCTGGTCTTCTTCTCCTTGATTTCCAAAGACTGGCTGACCCAGCCCAAAGAAATCAAAAGGCATACCGTTCTCAAAGTTAACATCTTTAGGGATTGGATCTTCTTGAGGGGGCCCTTCATGAGGATGATGCAACAGAAGCTCGCACCGAGGACCGAGCGTTAGCTCGGTTGGTCCGGCTTCTAGGTGTGAAGGGACCGCTCGCGGGTTGGATTCCTGATGGGATGAACTTGCTTGCCTCACCGGGGCAGGCCCCCAAATAATTTCAGCTGACATTTGGACCGGTTCCAAGCGTCTGCCTCTCACGCGTGACGTCACAGTGGGATCGTGACGTGCCCTTCGCCTACGAAATAAGTGGATTTAGGTGATCTCAAGAAGAACGTGGTCTTCAGATCTGGATGTAGTTTTAGGTTTGTTTGTACACGGGTGGTGTGAGTTGTGTGCGTGTGTTGTGTGGGCGTGTGTGTACGAACAGATGCTACAGCTGTACCCAGATGAGAGTTAAAAAAAAAAAGAAGCTCACACTGAATGGTCCAAGAATCATCATTCAGCGTGTCAGGATCTGAATAAACAATGAACTATGGCACCTTCTGAAGATCATTGACACGAGCTCTGACTAGCAAACGATTCATGTGACCTTCACTCTCTTCCCAGAGTAAAACCTTTGCAAATTTGCCCAAAGCATTCTGAATGTGTCTTTCAGTGCGATAATCATTGGGGAATCCGAGCAGAAGCAGCCAATAGTGCTGATTGAACTGAAGCCTACGATAGTTTCTACCTTCATTATGCTTGACAAAAGAAACACTGACATTACCGAAGAAGTGGGGGATATCTAACACCAGCGTATCCCTATCATACACATGGGTGAACTTAACCAGAGCCTGACCCAAGTGAGTGGGTTGGATATCCCGAAAGGCAATATGCACCTCATTACGCAAAAAATCTCTAAGGACCGCGCGAACAGCAGCAAACTGAAGATCGTTACCCGGAAGGGGGTCAAAGACGGCAATGGCAAGGTCCTCATTGTTCGCCGGCGGCGTGATTGGCGTGATAGCACGAGTCATGAACTCTCGGTTGGGCACCTCTTGGAGCTGCATGTTGAGTGGGATGAAGGGAGTAGGATCGGCGCGCTGATACGCCATGATTGCAGCTTGAGGTGAAGAAGGCAAAGTGCTATCAAGCGCAGGGAGGGAGTTTGTACAAGGCACCGTTGCCGCGCAGGGGTGAGATAATTTGCTAGCTACTGCTTCTGCCTTTGGGGATAGATAACATATTGCACTTAGCACATGCTGCAATATATTAGCCGATTCTCATAATCTTAGACGGCCATTGGGTTGACAAATCTTGCTCATAGCGAGTTGCTTGGAACTTTGGCCGGATTAATCTCTTGTGTGAACGAAGCACGACACCAGCAGTGGTTGTGCTCTTGCAGATTATAGTGACCCGCATTTCCACCTAGAACCGATGAAGGGCTCATTCAGATGACCGAGACCTCAAAAGCACACTATAGCCATTTATCACCGCTTATTCACCGCTTATTTTTGAACACCATGTTTGACCACTGTCTTAAAGAAATAGTACAAATATGCAAAAATACTGAAACTCGTTTGGAAGAGAGGAATACAAAACATAGGAATGGGAAAAAACACATGAACAATGGTTAACTTAAAACAAAGGAATAGAAAAACACATGAATTCAAAGGAGTTGGTGTTTAGAACACATGAATTGAAGTATCTCAGGATTTTGAGAGCTAGAAATAAATCTAGGTGCTTACACTAATGGCAGTATTCCTTCTTACAGTTAGAGATCAGATCAAAAGTAGGTTCAACAGACAGAGTGGACCCACATGCTAGTTATCATTTCCTTTGCTCTCATCCACTCATTTTTTTTTGTCTTTTTTTCATGCCTCAGTTTCTTATGGTTTCGTCTCAGAGATGAGAATGATGGCAGCAAGCCAATAGCAAATCCTTTTGCTTCTCCATGATTGCTGCTCCTTTCTTGCATCTCTCTTCTTACCTTGAGCCTCTTGCACGTGAGTGACGGCTACTATATGCGAGCTTTGGTTGTGGCCACTGCTCCTCATGGCTTGTTCGTGAGCGGCGTGGTGGCGGCGGGGGCGGCACTGACGCTGTACAACCAGCGTGGGGAGACAGTGTGGCCGGGCATCCAGCCAGGAGCGGTAAGGAGCTGCTGGCGCGCGGCGGCATGTCGTTGGCTCCAGATGCGATTGGGGAAGAAGATGCAAGCAAGCAAGGTGCGAACACATATGATTATGATGTGTCTATGTGTGATGAGTAGGGATGAAAACGGTCGGAAAACCTCTCAGCCGTTTTTTACTTTTACATTTGAATACGAAAACGAAAACGAAAGCAAAAGTGGTAAAGCCGGACACGAAAACAAACACGAACTTACGGAATATCGAGAATTTCGAAAACGAACTAATTCGAGCGGAATTATGTCGAACACGGTTGGTACATGAAAAATCAATATGGAATATTGACCCGTATGACCAAGTGCATAACAATTAACAGGTGAATAATAATTTATAAGTCCTACAACTTTCTTAAAAAATATCTCCATTCGACGCCGTGTAAGAAAGATATGATTTATCTAAGGCAACGAGCGCTTGTACGCGATTAATATACCGCTGAAACTTTGTTTAATTTTTTTTGAACATATTAAAGACCTCAAATGAAAAAACTAAAAACTAGAAAATTATAGATCTCGTCGAGAGCTATAATTTTATATAAAAATCATCTTCATCCGAGATCGTATTAAAAAGATATATTTTTTCTAAGGCTGGACTTTTAGCGGGCCAAATTTGGTTTAAACCGAATTTCGAAACCGAATTTCGAATTCAGGATATTCCGAATTAAAAGTAGAAAAGTAGAAAACGGTCGGAAAAGTGTCAAAGACATTTTCGTTTCGATTTCGAATTTGATGTTCCGAATTTCGAACCGAATTCGAATTTGTCCGAAAATACGAATTCGATCGGATTAAATGTAGAAAACAATGCGGTTCGATACGGGATATTTCCGTACCGTTTTCATCCTTAGTGATGAGTAATGAGTGATTGTCAAGAGATAATCAATCTTTGGTTGAGTGTTTGAGACTAATCGTGACGTGAGTCTAGTGTTGTGCAACATATCTCTTGCCTTGTGATGGGTGCAGGTGTTGAGCGTTGAGATAGTTGACGACAATGGAGAAGGTTAAGCCATCAAGCGAATTCGTGGCGATGGAACAGCGACAGCGAAGGATGGACGTGGAGGCTTGAACCGAGGGACCGAGATGTCGTGGTGAACCATGGATAGCTAACACCTCGACGAGCAAGTGTACATGAGGAGATGTTGTAGATTGTGTTGACCAAGTCAAATGGGGGCGCAAGGACTTGATGATCGGACAGTTAAGTACAGATGATGACACTCGTCAAGATCATGGAGGAGCGTAGCAAATATGCTTCTCCAGCTGGGTTTAACGGTTTGGGCCTGTAAACCGTCAATGGACGGTTTGTTGGGTTTGGGCCTCAAAGAGGTAGATCTCGGTGCGGCACGTTGCATCACTTGAGAGCTTACATCGAGACGAAGCGTCTTCATGAAGGGATCATGGTCGTCTGATGCTCAGAACTCAACTTGGACCATTATGCGGGGTTAAGTGGTTCAGGCAAAATATCTAAATACAGGCTTCAGATATGTAATGTGGCTCTATAAATAAGAGAGGATGCTGCCCAAGCTAGCCATCTGTTCCGGTGCTTTCATTTTCAGTCTCTAGGTGTTAGTTTCCTTTTTCTAGCTAGACTCCTGTACCAAGAGATATCCATAGATGAGAGATTGAGTTATCTGTCTATGTTCATCTATAAAACCAGATCTTGCTCAAGTTGATCTTGTGGCAATAAAGAAAGTTGTCCTTTGAATCGTTGTCTCAAGATCTTGTGTTTGGTTTTTCCTCTCTGTTCCCCTCTCTTGTGGTTTTGATGGATTTTGTGTTCCTGCATGTTAGAGGGCGATTTGAATTGATGGATTCGTGCTAGAACCTCTGAGAAACATCCCTGCCAAATAGTTCGGACAGATTCCTCACGAGCGCTTAGATCCATCACTGGAGGAAATATTGTGAAAACCCCAATCCTTTAGATGGGTTTTTAGATAAGAGTTGATTTCATATTGTGTGGGTGATGATCTTTGGGGGATTGCTTCTAAGCACCCAAGGGAACGCCTCTGCAAAATTTGGGATCAATCGGAGTTCGTTTGCATGTTTTTGGCTTTTGGAGAGAAGTTCTCATGCCGCTGTACAGAAGAACCAGCTAAGCCGGTTTGGCCTCACTAAATCGCGCGCGTGCTCAATAGGAAATGGGCGCGTGATGGGACAACACCACGACTTTCCTTTTTTGGCAAAAAAGTTTTCCGCAACTTTCCTTTTTCTAGAAAGTTTTATATTTTTGGCAAAAAAAATTGTTTCACAACTTTCTTTTTTTTGGAAAGTTACAACATTATACTCATAACTTTTACGCATAGCTTCTGGAACAAACTTCTGCGTATAACTTATATATATAACTAATACACATGACTTCAACATATACCTTCAATGTGACATAGTTACGCACATAACTTATACATATTCGTGACAAAGTTTATACGCATAACTGTAAGTGCAATCAAGCCTTAAGTGGATTTTGGTGATGTTGACGACAAAATTAAACAACTAATGGCTTCTTTAGGTGATTGACAGTGTATCATTAGTCGTGGGTGCAAACAAAGGAGGAGATCCCCAAATTCAAATGGATGGCTTGCAAAGGCTCAAAGAGCTAGTTTACTTCATTTTATATTTTGAAATTGAGTTATAGGACAAGCCGTACTATCAAGGAATACTAATGGTGTGTTGTGTGGAACCAAGTGCTCAAAACACCATACACAACTCAAATTATCCCGGCCATAAAAAGCTAGCCGAGCTAAACTCCTTTCTGTTCTAGCCAGCGCGGAACCTCCATGTCCAAGCGTGGAACCTCCGAGGCGTGGAACATCCGCGACTTAACGCGAAGGCTCCGGGATCTGTCTGACCCGACAGTTTTGTGGGTGACATGGGAGGTATTTATATTTGTTCCCTTCGCCCCAACGGTCATCTTCTTCCTCATTCACTCAAACAAGAACTGAAGTTCACTCTCTCCAAGCTTGGTGCTCCCAACTCCCTTGCTCAAATCTTGGTGATTCTTTGAGGGATTTGGCATTAGAGAGTGTGAGAAAGCTCGAGAAGATCCTTCTCCTCCGTTTCTTGTGCACTTGGTGAAACCCTAGCCGTTTGGTGTGTTCATTACTCTTGGAGCTTGGCTCCTAGACGGCTAGCGGTCGACCGAGAGCTCCCAATCCTTTGTGGCTGAGCACCGGGACGTTTGTATTACCCTTTGTGACTTAGTGGAACCCTCCAATCTATTGCCTTGATGATAGGTTGGAGAAGAGCAGTGAGTTGAAAGAGACTCCATGGCATTTGTGGCTAACCTCAACAACTTGGACGTAGACAAGTCTTTGTGGCGAGTTGAACCACGGGATAAATCCTCGTGTCTCTTGTGATTGTGATTGTTGTTGCTATTACTTGTGATTTAAATTGATTTTTAGGGTTTGCATCCGATCTACGAGCTCCTCATCTTCTAGGTGCAACCAACCGTTTGGATAGCTCAACAAACTCCCTAGGAAGACTAGTATCACATTCGATCTATTTTTCATTCGTTAAATTCCGCAGTAGATCAATTTCATACTCTGATCGCCGGAGTTTCTATGCCTAGTCCTGGAACCTCCGCGCCCCGGAACCTCCACGCTCCAGCCCGGAGGTTCCGCGTTCTGACAGTTTTCATGAAGTTGATTAAATTTCAGAAAAAGGCCTATTCATCCCCTTCTAGGCCACTTGCTAGATCCTTTCAATAACTTTTATGTATAGTATTTTGCGGAGCAAACTTATCAACATAATTTCATAGAAAGCTACAAAAACTATACACAATTTTTTTTATGTGTAACTTGTTTGTATAATTTAAATATATAACTTGATGAATGACTTAGACATAAAGTTGAACGTATAAGTTATATTCATGAACATAAATGTATAAATTAATATCATAACATATTAGAAGAAATATAAAAACTATGTAGAAAAATAACGATGTAGTATAACTTATAAATATATAACAAAAAAGAGAAAAAATGGTAGAAAGAACAAAAAAAAAAAGGAAGAAAAAATGAACATTCGTGCAGTGTAACCATGCCACCGAATGAATCCGACCAGCAAAAAGTTATTCAATACAACTTATGTTCATAAGTTGTAAGTTATAAGTTATTTGTCATAAGTTAATACACATAGATTGCTACTAGAAAAAAGTTCTTCGAAACAATTGCAAGTGGAGTCTCGTTTTGTTCACGTCGGCGCGTAGAATACACCGGTGTAGATAGAATTAAAAACGGATACACTGTTCAGAAGTTATAGCAGTTTCAAATAAATGTATTGCATTCTTTAGGGTGACAACCGTAACATTGAAAAACGTGCAGGGGAGGGGAGTGGGCAGTCACCGGGTGCCGGCGCTGGTCGGATCGTCCGCTGGATTGGAATTGGGTAAACCGGTTTTGTCAACATGCTCTGTTTGAGGTGATTTTTGGTGGAAATGTTCTTTATAATGTTGTGAACTTCCCCATTTGATTGGGTTTCGACTTTATCTCTCTCGGGGTGTGCTGAAAACCAGCCGTAGAAAAATTAGCTTAGCTAGTTTCCAAACTAGCTAAGCCGATTTGGAAACTAGCTAAGCCGTTTTCCTGGGTGACGTCACTGCAGTGTTGTGTTTTCGTCTCCCGGGTTGCATCTTGCGTCCGTTTGACTTACGGTCTTTTTCTAGTTGGCCTGTGTTTATGTACTTGTGTGAAAGTTTTTGGTGCTTTGGGTTTTTGGCTAGTTGGTGTTGGGACAACGACCGAAACCGAAAGAAAAATTAGATTAGGCTCCTATTCACACCCTTAGGTCATCTTACGTAATCCTTTAATTGGTATTAGAGCCGGTTTTATGTATCAATTCACCTTGACAAGTTTGTGATGTATGAAGACCACGGGGAGCGTGATAGTAGCATGGCTCCCTTGGTTGGTTGGCCTAGATGCATTATCTGCAGAGAATGCACCTAGGAATTACATATATAGGCCCCGTTCGTTTCTCTTATAGTCCGTATTTTTCAGCCTGTTTTTTCAGCTGGAACAGTGTTTTTCTCTCACAACAAATCAACCGGAATAGTATTTCGGCTTGTTTTCAGCGAATTGAACGGGGCCATAATTTATAGAGTTAAATACACTGGCCGCCCTTAAACTTGTAGCGTTGTGCCACTTAGGTTCACGAACTCTCAAAATCAAAATTCGATCCCCCCTAAACTTGTTAAATGGTGCACTACATCTCCATACCCTTCGGGAGGTGCTGACTAGGCTAAATTTTTACAAAAAACACCCTGCTATAGTCATGTTCTACCCGCGCCAGCCATCTCATAGGTCGCGCTCGCCGTTCGCGGCTGACACCATGCGCGTAGTTTGATCGTTTCGTTGTGCCTCAGCTCGTAGGATGCGCCCGCCATTCGCAGTCGCACCGGAGACCTCTCTACTGCCCCTTTCTAGACGCAGACACATCGCCCTGCGTGGTTACGTACCACTCACCAGCGCAAGACACGCACACCACGACTTCCGGCAAGGCGGTCGCTGCGTCCAATGACGACGTCAACATGTGGCACCACCGGGAGCCGCCCTTGCGAGGAGTAGCTGTGCTGCCTATCGCGGCACATAGCTTGGCCACACACCGTGCGGCACGACGGTCTGCTGACTGTTGCATGCCTGTATGTGTGCAAAACATCGAAAGATAATATAGTCAATCAACAGAATGGGAGTTGCCGTTGTTGCCTATCCACACGATCAGAAAGGTACGTTGGCGCCTGGCGCGGAGAAGAACGTCACCGCCGCCATGCGCGCCGTCGCTGAGGCCACGGGCGACGCCTTCTCCTTCGCCGGGAACCAGGCGGCGATCCAGGACTCGTTCGTGCGTGTCCGTGTAGTGCAGGAGGTGCGCGTGTCGCCGTCGCGTGCCTGTGCGAGGAGGGCGGACGGCCAGTTTGGGGAGATGGACAGCGCGGCGAGTTCCGTGGGCACGCGAGCTCCGGGAGCGTGCTGTTGTACCAGGGCGTCTGCGACCTCCGGGACGGCGTCGTGTCCACAGAGGCGTGGCTGGCCGGGCACCCCAGCAGGGCCAGTGTGATCCCGTTTTCTCGCACTGCCACGAGGACAGCGCGCCGGGGACCGCGCTGGTGGAAGGCCGGCCGCGAGGGAAGCGCACCGAGCACCGCACTTGTGGACGGCCGGCGGCGAGGGAAGCAACTGCGAGCAAACCTTGCGGGTGGACGGCCGGCCGCCGACGTCGCGCATGTGGGAGACGACGGCCGCGGACGACGCCGCACGTGAGGGAGTCTGAGGTAGGACGTGACTACAAGGGTGCTTTCTATAAAAAATTTAGCCTAGTCAGCGCCTCCCGAAGGGTATAGACCTCTGGTGCGCCACTTAACAAGTTCAGGGGCTCGAATTTCGATTTCGAGAGTTCGTGGACCTAAGTGGCACAATGCCACAAGTTTAAGATCCGCCAGTGTATTTAACTTTAATTTATATGTATGGTTCGATACATATTGTTAATTTTTAGATGCAAAACTTATTTTGACATGAAAAATAAAGCTGCATGTAACTTGAAGCAAATGGAGCACATGATGTGCCCTATGAAGAAGTGGCTTGGTTTGCTTCCAAAATTGCTTCAACCACCCGGCTGAGCGCAACATGATCTGAGATCATACCGATGTGCGTCACGTTTGGGATCAAAACAGACTTGAAGTAACGTTGATCCGGGTCATCCCCGACAAAAGTTTGTAGTGCCAGCACGGTGTCCAAGCTGACTATCCCATCGCCGTCACCGTTCACCACCTGAGGCTTGGCACTGAAGTTGCCATCCCAGTAGACCAACCTATGGATCGTCGGCACACCAACGCCATTGGTAGACGTCATCGGCACGAGTGGCGCCCTGAAATTCAGCGTCACCGGCAGCGTCCTTGTTTGGTACCGCTCGACCACGTCGTTGGAGAAGCCTACCGCGGCAAGGAACTCAGGCATGTTCTGGGCAGAGTAGTTCTTGGCTCGCGTGATCACCAGGGGCGTGTTGCCGTACACCTTCGGGGACGGCAGGCGGGAGAGCGTGCTGGCGAAGCTCCTGTTCCCGAACGACAGCACGCTGCCCAGCAGCGTCGGCGACGGGGTAGCGCTGGCCCTGCTGGAGGCGGGGACCTGCAGGGTCAACGCCGAGCCGCCGACGCCGTGGCAGACCATGACCAGGTGCTTGACGTACCTGCTGCGCCACGGCAGGGGGCTCCGGTTGAGGAACTTGTTAGATGATATAGGTAGTCTAGATTCTATGTATATCTTTAGGTTGTTATATAAGGAAGTAGATGAGTAATTCTAGGGATCAATTTGTTGTAATCATGATCTTGTAACCTGCCACGGTGGAGGCTGTTTTCATCTATATAACATGAAACGGAGGATCCCAAGGGGTAACCTTGTTAACCTATTTCGTCTTACATGGTACCAAGAGCCATCTTCCACACGAAGCTCTTCAATGGCATTCGCGAGTTCATCCTCACTGCCTTCTGCTGCCATGTTTCCCATCTCCTTTCTTCCAACCAATGAAAAACTCACCCGAGCGAATTTTCCTTCGTGGAAAGCTCAGGTTCTCTCGGCCCTGAGAGGATGTCAGTTGGCCGGGTACATCCATCCAGAGGCGCAGTCGCCGTCTCCCTTCCTCGCCCCGGAGAAGGGGAAGGAAGATTCGAAGGAACCCCCCAAGCCCAACCTGGAGTATGATGCATGGGTGGCGAAGGATCAGATGGTCCTCAATTACCTCCTCTCCAACATGTCCAAGGAGATCCTTGGGCAGGTGAATCAGGAGATCACCGTGTCAGGCGCATGGCGTGCGCTCGAGAAAATGTTCTCCTCTTTCTCCCGCGCCGAGTCATTTCCACGCGCATGGCTTTGGCTACGACCACGAAAGGTACAAATTCCATTAGTGAATATTTTGGGAGGATGAAAACCTTGGCAGATGAGATGGCGTCGGCTGGACGCAAACTTGAGGATGAGGAGCTTGTCTCCTACATCCTTACGGGTCTCGACCTCGACTTTGACCCTGTCGTCTCAGCTGTGACTGCACGTGTGGAGCCTATCTTCGTCGCCGAATTGTACACCCAGCTCATCAGCCACGAGCAGCGTCTCAAGATGCGTAGCGGCGGCGAGAACCAGTCCTCGGCCAACATGGCGTCGAGGGGAGATCGTGGGGGCAGTGGCAACCGCAGCGGTGGCGGTGGCCGTGGCGGCTCCGGAGGCTACGGTCGTGGAGGCTACGGCCGCGGCAACAAAGGAGGTCGCGGTGGCAGTGGTGGCCAACGCAAACAACCCTTCCAACCGGGGGTCTACTGCCAAGTCTGCACCAAGGAAGGTCACACTGCCATAGGCTGCTTCAAGCGTTTTGACGCATCGTACACGCCTCCACAGAAGTCGGCATCATCGGCAACTGCATCCTACGACGTGGACACCAACTGGTATATGGATACCGGTGCCACGGACCACATCACCAGCGAGCTGGACAAGCTCACCGTGTGCGACAAATACCACGGTGGTGAGCAAGTGCACACCGCCAGTGGCTCAGGTATGGAGATAAGTCATATCGGTCACGGCATTTTAAGTTCCCCAAACACTAATCTCCAACTCAAACACATCCTTCATGTTCCATCTGCAAGCAAGAATCTGCTTTCTGTTAATCGTATTACCCGTGACAATGATGTTTTCTTAGAATTTCATCCTGATTGTTTTCTTGTCAAGGAACAGTCAACGAGGAAAACAATCCTCGAAGGCAGATGTGAGCATGGCCTTTACCCTGTAAGGCCACCAAATAAAGAGGTGTTAGGTGCGGTCAAGCCAACGACGTCCATGTGGCACCATCGTCTAGGCCATGCCGCACCCGCCATAGTTCACCAAGTTCTTCATCGTCATCAGCTTCCCTTTGTCAAGGAGTCCAATAATTCTAGTGTTTGTGGTGCCTGTCAACAAGGCAAAAGTCACCAGTTGCCATATCCTAGATCGACTAGTATTTCATCTAGTCCTTTTGATCTTGTTTTCAGTGATGTATGGGGACCTGCCCCGAATTCTGTTGGTCGCAACAATTACTATGTTTCGTTCATAGATGATTATAGCAAGTTTGTTTGGATTTATTTGTTGCGTAAAAAATCCGAAGTCTTCCAAATCTTCCGTGATTTCCAAAGCTTAGTAGAAAGGCAATTTGACACAAAAATTCGTTCTATCCAAACCGATTGGGGAGGAGAATATCAAGCTCTAAGTCCTTTCTTTAATCGTATGGGCATTTCACATCACATTTCGTGTCCCCATGCCCATCAACAAAATGGCTCCGCAGAAAGAAAACATAGACACATAGTTGAAATTGGCCTAACAATCCTAGCGCATGCTTCCATGCCGCTCAAATTTTGGGATGAGGCATTCTTGACAGCCGTTTACTTGATCAATCGGCTCCCATCTAGAGTCATAAGTAATGATACTCCCTATTTTCGTCTATTTGGACAACACCCTGATTATATATCTCTGCGCACTTTTGGGTGCGCCTGCTGGCCACATCTACGTCCATACAATGCTAGAAAGCTAGACTTCCGGTCTAAACAGTGTGTTTTCTTAGGGTATAGCAACCAACATAAGGGGTTCAAATGTTTGGATCCCAGGGAAGGACGAGTCTATATCTCCAGAGATGTTATCTTTGATGAAAATGTGTTTCCATTCGCCTCACTTCACCCAAATGCCGGTGCTCGTTTGCGCGCTAAAATTCTTCTTTTACCTGAAAACCTTATCAATCCCTCTAGTATTGGGGAACTCCAAATGTCTGATCATGTGCTGAATTCTCCATTACCTATTCATGCACCTAATAATTCTTCTGGAGTTGCTGCTAGCACAGGTCAAAATTGTGATCCGCACGTCCAGTTTCCGGCGACTGGCAGCGCATCCACCTCAGGATCGGAGACGATCTTCCAAACCGCGTTGTTCCCGGGCGATCTGGCGTCAAGAGCGGGATCCTCTACACCAGCACCTGGATTGACCGTGTCTGAGGCCACACCGGGTGCGGCGCATCCTGATCCCAGTGGCGGGCCCGAGATATCGGCACCGGCACCCGATGCTAATGCGGCTTCTGGATCCGGTGCGAGCGTGGATGCTACACCTCCGTCTGTGGCTTCGTCATCCCTTCCGGAACAGCAACGCCCAACTACAAGATTGCAGCATGGCATCAGCAAGCCTAAAGTCTACACGGATGGTACAGTTCGATGGTGTCAACTTGCCAGCACTGCTGTTGAGGAACCTTCTACTGTCTCTGAGGCACTCTAGGATGATAAATGGGTCTCGGCAATGGATACTGAACATCAGGCACTCCTTCGAAATAGAACATGGCATCTTGTTCCACCACCAAGAGGCAAGAACATAATTGGGTGTAAGTGGGTCTACAAAGTCAAACGGAAAGCAGACGGGTCTGTTGATCGTTACAAGGCACGTCTGGTTGCAAAAGGATACAAGCAACAGTATGGGATAGACTATGAAGATACCTTCAGTCCAGTCGTCAAAGCTGCTACAATTCGTATTGTTCTCTCTGTTGCATTGTCACAAGGATGGTCACTTCGGCAACTTGACGTCCATAATGCATTCCTACATGGAGTTCTCGAGGAAGAGGTATATATGCAACAACCTCCTGGTTACATTGATCCTCAAAGGCCTGATTATGTCCGTAAATTGGACAAGGCCCTTTATGGTTTGAAACAGGCACCGCGGGCATGGTATGCTAGACTCTGTGGCAAGCTTCAACAACTCGGTTTTGTGTCTTCCAAGGCTGATACCTCACTGTTCTATTATAGAAAGGGAGGTAACAGATTGCTTGTTCTCGTGTATGTGGACGATATTATTGTTACTAGTTCATCTCCCCGGGCCACCAATGCTTTGCTTGCCGACCTGCAGGCTGATTTTGCTCTCAAGGACCTTGGAGATCTTCACTTCTTCTTGGGGATCGAAGTCAAGCGGGGAAGTAACGGATTGAGTCTCACCCAACAACGCTATGCCATGGATATTTTAAAGCGCTCTGGTATGCATCGCTGTAATGCTATTGACACCCCTTTGTCCTCCACTGGGAAGTTAAGTGTGGAATCCGGTGATAAACTTGGACCTGATGATGCAACAAATTACCGCAGTGTGGTTGGAGCCCTCCAGTACTTGACATTGACACGTCCAGATATAGCTTTTGCAGTAAACAAGGTGTGCCAATTCTTGCACACACCGACCACTATACATTGGAGCGCCGTGAAGAGGATCCTGAGGTATGTTCGAGGAACTGTAAATCTCGGACTTAGTATTCGGAGGTCCAAATCGACACTTGTGAGTGCATTCTCTGACGCGGATTGGGCTGGTTGTGTGGATGATAGAAGATCTACAGGAGGTTTTGCAGTGTTTCTTGGTGATAACTTGATCTCTTGGACAGCCAGGAAGCAACCCACTGTTTCGAGATCTTTCACTGAAGCAGAATACAAAGCTTTAGCAAATGCTACAGCCGAAATGTTATGGGTGTAGAAACTTCTTACTGAATTTGGAATACCACATCCAGCCAAGGCGCCACTCTGGTGTGATAATTTGGGAGCAACATATTTATCTGCTAATCCTATTTTTCATGCCAGGACCAAACATATCGAGATTGATTTTCACTTTGTTCGAGAACGTGTTGCACAGAAACTTCTGGAGATACGGTTCATACATACTGGCGACCAGGTGGCTGATGGATTCACCAAGGCTTTGCCTATGTTCAAGCTTAGAAAATTCAGGGATAATCTCAACCTTAGAAGTGGCTGAGATTGAGGAGGAGTGTTAGATGATATAGGTAGTTTAGATTCTATGTATATCTTTAAGTTGTTATACAAAGAAGTAGATGAGTAATTCTAGGGATCAATTTGTTGTAATCATGATTTTGTAACCTGCCACGGTGGAGGCTGTTTCCATCTATATAACATGAAACCGAGGATCCAAAGGGTAACCTCGTTAACCTATTTCGTCTTACAGAACTCCGTGGTGAAGAGGCCGCCGAAGCTGTGGGTCACGAGGATGACCGGCCTGTTCCCGTTCGTCACGCTCGCGTGCTCCACCAGGAGGCTCAGGCTGGAGCGGAAGTCGGCGAACGCCCTGGACGCCACGCCGGGCGCCGCCGGCGCGTATCGGAAGTCGTACGGGGCGCCGAACAGGCCACGAGCCTCTCCATGCAGGTGTTCCTATAATAAATAAGGATATGGCGCACGAGACAAAACATGATTTCACCACCGTATCTCCTGTAAAATTCGACATGATACATATATACATATACACCGCCGATACACGCATATGCTTAGCTTGTTACTTTTTGGCGGGATCGTCGAAGCGGAAGCTGCGGGTGGAGCCGAAGGACACGACGCGGGTCTCCACGCCGGGCAAATTGCGGTAGTCACCGGCGGCGCGGTCGTACACGTGCCAGAGCTGGTCCTCGTAGCACGGCAGGAGCGCGGGGTCCTCCTGCAGCGCCGTGTAGTTCTCCCACAGCC